GAGAATCGAACTCCTGGCAGTGGGCAGAATTAGCTTGCAATGCTGCATGCTAACCACTGGGTCCCCAGGGCACGGAACAAGTTAAATCGTGTTATGATCGGATGAAGTGGCGTTTGGATAATTTCAGCAGTCGTTTTAACAAAAAAATAATCTCCCAAACGGACTACATTTTGATTCTGTTTTATTTATCAATTCATAAGTACATGGTTTAGAGAAAAGCTGCTAAGATCAATGAAATGTTACAAATTTAAGCGCTTCATTCTGTAGAGCTCTGCCTTCAGGATAGATAATAGAATTACAATTACAAGAATGATAATAATATAATAAAACCAGGAAAGTCCCCTGGACTTTGCTTTATCTTAAACAGCATGGAGAAAGAAGTGGGATTATAGGTTTCAGGGAAGGAAAGGGATTCTGGAGATCATCTAGCCCAGCCCCTTCCTTGTAGTGAAATAACACTGGATTAAGACAACGGTATAAAGACGGATTGCTAAATGCCCTCCGTGTTCTTGAGACGGACATGAAATATGTGGACATGCAATTTTTTTAGAGCCGTTATGTTGATTGAGACTTAGGCCTTCAAATTGTTGGATTTTCTCCATGACTGATTCCCCCCAACCTGGTTTTTCAGGTCTGCCTCCATCAGTCATGGCAAATATATATATATTTTCCCCGCTAGAGAACCTGATCCAAAACCAATCCTTTTCTTCATGGGATTGTGGGATCCACTCAAGAGAACACCTTCAAAATGCTTTGCGGATCACAGCAGTTCTAGAAACACGTCAGTCCTTGAAGACGTTTCTGTTTTGGGGGGAAATCCAGGGGTCGAATTCTTAAGCGTGAAGCACACAACCGCTTCCCACCCCGGTCTTCCTTGTACAACTGTCGGTGCAAAGAAGAGAACCACGTTGGCTGCCTTTGAGCACTAGGGGAAACGAAGAAACGAATGAAATGGAGGACAGGCAGGGGACAGGATAGGTTTTCAAACCTTTGGAAGCTAGAAAGCAGGCTGAAATGTGACTTAGAATTGACCAAATGGTGATGCCGTTATTAGAAGAGACATTCTCTTCACAGTTAGGTTTATGGGATCACAGCCTCTTGCCTCCTGTCAGGCAATGGAAGTCTCCCCCCCCCTCCAAATAATGGGGTCTCTCTCACTGGAGGTCTTTAGAGGTCATCTGTCAGAGATGTTCCCACACAGCTTGGTGCAAGGGGGGGGTCAGACTAAAGGACCTCTGGAGGTCCCTTTCAACTCTTACGGTTTGGATTCAAATTCATTTCTGTCCAGGACAGGGTAAAAGGATCTCGAATCAAGGTTGGGTTCACATGGAGATTAGAATGACGATGCCGGACCAGGAAAGCAAGGAATTCCCACAACCATTTCCGAAAAGAAAGTGTTTTTCTGTCAGCCCCCTTTTCTCTCTCTCTCTCTCAGTGTCTGGCCTACCTTGTCAGGGATGTTGTGGGAGATTTAAGAAGAAGAACAAAATCCCAGAAAGCAGGGGAACGGGGTTGTCTTGTTTCGGTCTCCTTGGGAAGACGGTGGGATATATATGTAATCCAATAATGTTTTATTCCATATTTTCAACCAAGTTCCATCACTCTCCACAAGAATCCAGCGATCACTTCTGGATTCTTCCTTCAAGATCAATAAGGAGGATTTTTCAAATTAACATCCGCAGATCTCCCCTTATTAAGAACAAAGCATCACCTAGTTAATTAAAGTCCTTTTCACATGCATCAGTTCAACTTTAGATTGTGCAACATTTGGATGTTGGTTGGTTTGCTTTTTAAAATCCCCTAGGACTGCAAAATGGCTTCTGGGCCAATGAGCCAGTCTCATCCTTTGCTACAAATATATGACATACAACCTGGTGGGAAAGGACAAAAATATATAGCTTCCCCCACCCCCTTTTACAAGGAACAAGATTTTGAATTACCCACAAAAAGAAAAGAAAAAAAATACAAACACTATGGAATATCTCCGGGTTCGAAGAGATTTGGGGCATAAGAGTCTCTTACCTACCTTGTTCCAATATTTGAGGGGCTGCCATAGAGAGGAAGGGGTCAAGCTATTTTCTAAAGCACCCGAAGGCCAGACAAGGAATAATGGATGGAAACTTGAACAAGGAGAGATTCAACCTGGAAATAAGGAGAAACTTTCTGACAGTGAGAACAATCAACCCATGGAACAGAAGTTGCCCTCGGAAGTTGTGGGAGCGCCATCACTGGAGGCTTTTAAGAAGAGATTGGACTGCCATTTGTCAGAAATGGTGTAGGGTCTCCTGCTTGGGGTGGGGGGTTGGACTAGATGACCTACAAGGTCCCTTCCAACTCTGATTATCTGTTATCTGTTTAGTCGCTGTAGATTATGGCTCTTAGTCTGGATGGCAGGGAGGCTGTCCCTGAAGGCCATCAGCTGGGAGATCAGGGGTTCACCCTTGGGTGTTTTGGTGGGCCAACTGGGAGAACAAATTGTGAGGTCAGAGGGGCCAAAGATCTCAAGCCAACAAGGCAGTTTTAGGTTCTTAAGATAACATTTCAACAGATGGTAATTGATAGATACAAGGTTGCTCAAGATGTTGTGGCCTGCCGGCAGCTGGCGGACAGTAGTCAAGTTGGGGACAAGGGTGGGATTCAAATTTTTTAACAACCGATTCTGTGGGTGTGGCTTAGTTGGTGGGCGTGGCTTGGTGATCATGTGACCAGGTGGACGTGGCCTGGTGGTCATGTTATTGGCTGGGCGTGGCCAACTCAATATCACTCAGATCGAGGCACGCATCTCCTCGCCTGGCCTCTCATGACTGTGGGGATGCTGTAACAGTCATTAAGCGTGAAAAATGGTCATAAGTCACTTTTTTCAGTGCCGCTGTAACTTTGAATGGTCACTCCGCACAAGCAAAATACCAGCAAAGGAGGGGAAACAAACTCCAGAGACGTTCCTGAGACAGGAAGTCTAGTCCTGCCAAGAATGTAATAAGGGTTAACGGAGAGGCAGCTTCTGTAAGCAACACCAGAATGTTTCCTTCCTGCCTTCCTTACAGGATTAGACCAGTAATTTCTTCTAACAACCGGTTCTCCGAACTGCTTAGAATGTTAACACCCGGTTCTAGCGAATAGGTGCGAACCGGTAGAATCCCACCCCTGGTTGGGGAGGAACCCGAGCCATTCCTGGAGGCTGAGGAAGACTCGGATGAGGGCTCTGCATCAGAGGCAGAGATGGGGCCCGGGCAGGCTGGCAGTCATCAGCTGCTTTCGGGCTTGGACAGCAGTGAGGCGGGGGAGCTTCTGGAACTGGTTCCCAGCCTGCACATGCGCAGAGCTGCCAAAAGGAAGGCACAATTAAGAACTCAGGGTCGACGTGGGAGTAAGGCCACGGATGGACGATGAATGGCCCCTCCCATAAGGATTAAAAGGGGAGCAAAAGGGGAGGGTTTTTTTTGCAGGAAACAACTTGTTTATTCATTTATTCCAGCCTCGTGAAGATCTGTCTGTATAACCTACAATCGTGATGGCAAACCTATAGCACGCGCGGCACGGGTGGCATGCAGAGCCATTGGTGTGGACACATGACCCCCAGCCAAACTTACCTGCACTGTGCATGCGCACGCCTCCCAGCTGATTTTCAGCCCATTTGAGGCCGTTTTCGCCCTCCCGGAGGCTTGAGGGAAGCCTCTGCAGCCTCAGGAGGCCGAAAAACGGGCGTTCTGGAAATACCAGAAGCGCCGAAACGGGCCCGTTTTCAGCCTCCCAAGGCTGCAGAGGCTTCCCTCAGGCCTCCGGGAGGGTGAAAACGGCCTCAAACGGCCCAAAAATCAGCTGAGAGGCGCGCGCATGCACAGCGCAGTTAAGGGTGCAAGGCAGGGGTGTTGTGCACGCATGTGCTGGGGGGGGGGGGGGGGTGCATTGCATTGTGGGTATCAGCATGTACGCGCTTTCGCACACCACAGCAAAAAGGTTAGCCATCGCTGACCTAGAGTCTCTGTGCCCAGCCCTTCCCTTTCAGCACTGTGTGTGGAAATATTTACCGGGCAGCTTTCCAAGATAGATAAACGTTTGAGCTAATAATTACACCCTTGCAAGACAGTTTGCCAGACTGTTGGCTGAATGTGAATGCAATAAACTCGCATTCATATAATAAAAGAGTTTTTTGCCGGGACACAGATTTTGTTTAGTGCTTTTGGGGGAAGCCTAGGAAAAGAACACAAGATAGAATGCTCCTCCTCGGGATGGTCTACTGCAGAGCATCTGTGAAGAGAGTTAAATCGCTGAACGAAAGCTCTCAAGCCTTGACAGCAGCATGGCTGCCTCTGAAGGCCATCTTGTGGGAGACCGGAGGGCTTCCCCAGGGAAAGAAGATAGGCCATGGAGTCGGATCCTGCAGGGCATGGCTTGGATTTTTATATACCACTGTAACAGGGGTGTCAAACTTGATTTCGTTGAGAGTCACATCAGGGTTTTGTTTGACCCAGTGGTGGGATTCAATTTTTTTTTACTACAGGTTCTGTGGGTGTGGCTTGGTGGGCGTGGCAGGGGAAGGATACTGTAAACTCTCCAGTCAGAGGTGGTATTTGCCGGTTCTCTGAATTACTCGAAGTTTCCGCTACCGGTTCTCCAGAACTGGTCAGAATCTGCTGAATACCGCCTCTGGTTTGACCTCAGGGGGAAGTGGGGGGGGGGGGCGGCCAGGGTGGGCATGGCCAGCTCAAGATCACTTGTGTCAGGGATGGCCTGAGCACTCTGTCAGCAAACACAGGCTCCCGAGCTCCATTTTCTGCTGTGCCGGCTTCCTGCAACACTCTGCCAGTGTAAACGGAGCCCACAGTTCTCGCGAGCTCCGTTGTTCGCTGCGACGCCATCCTGCAACTCTCTGCCAGCGAAAATGGAGATCGGGAGGGCTGCGGGCACCATTTTTGCTGGCAGCAGCATCACAGGCCAATTCTTTGCTGTTTCCAGATCTAAGCACCCCTTAGGCCAGATCCACCCCGCCCCCCGGGCCTTGAGTTTGACAACCCCTTCTTTATAACATATGATACCCTATCCTTGATTTCTAAGTCTGTTCGTCCATGTATGTAACAAATGAAGAAGTCCCAAAGGTGTTTTTCCAAATGACAACTGGACTTCCTTGGGAGGTTTTTTCCCCCCCTTGAAAACATTTCACTTCTCATCCAAGAAGCTTCTGTTTTTGAAGAACTTCCTACTCTGAAGTTCTTGGATGAGAAGCAAAATGTTTTCAAGGGTAAAAAAAAATAAAAATAAACCAAAGAAGTCCAGTTGCCCTTTGGAGAAAAGCAACTTTGGGACAACCGCCACCGTTTGAGAAGCTCGAAAGACGATAATGAAGAAGCTTCAGAAGCACGCTTGATTATTGGACATGAAGCGAGAGTCAGCTTTTTTTCTCCATTTTTCCCCCTTCGCCATTGAAGCTTACTGCAGAGAGAGAGAGAGAGACTCTGTTGCGTCAAACGCCATTCAAACCCCGGATCAGACAATTTCCGCAGCGTGGATCCTCTGATGCGAGACCAGCGAGTCGCCCCGTGAGAACTGTTTCCCGCAGATGGGACACTCGTAGGGCTTCTCCCCGGTGTGGATGCGCTGATGGGACGTGAGGTTGCTGCTCTGGCTGAAAGCTCTCCCGCACTCCAGGCAGGTGTACGGCTTCTCCCCGGTGTGGGTCCTCTGGTGCAACGTGAGGTGGGCACTCCGGCTGAAGCTCTTCCCGCACTCGAGGCACAAGTAGGGCTTCTCCCCCGTATGCATCCGCAGGTGCGAGGCGAGGTTCCCGCTGAAACTGAACCGCTTGCCGCAATCCAGGCATTTGTACGGCTTGTCCCCCGTGTGAGTCCGTTCGTGGGACAGGAGATGCTTTCGACAAGTGAAGGTCTTCTCACACTGCAGGCAGCGATAACGGGCTTTGCGGGTGTGGATTTTCAGGTGCCGGGTGAGGTGGGTGCTCCGTCGGAAGCTCTTGCCGCACTCGGCACAGGTGTGCGGCCTCTCGTTCGTGTGCTTGGCCTGCTTGTGTTGGGCGAGCTTGGCCTCGTCGCCGAAGCTCTTGCCACAACGGAAACACTTGTACAGTTTCTCGGCCAGGTGGACCCTTTTATGGGAAATCAGCCGGGTGCTTCGGTAGAAGCCCTTGCCGCACTCTGAGCACTTGTATGGTTTCTCCCCCCGGTGAAGCTTTTGGTGCAGAATCAGATAATCGCCTCGGCTGAAGCTTTTCCCGCACTCGAAACATCGGTAGGGCTTCTCACCTGTGTGAGTCCTCTGGTGCCTGGTGAGATCTGACTTGCAACTGAAAGTCTTCCCACACAGGGCACACTTATTCGCGCTCGTCCCTTCGGTGTTCGGATGCTCGAGTATCGTTACGGACACCTCGGTGGGTTCCTCTTTAATCTGGATGTTATCTGCTGGAATACAGAGGGGGGGGGGGGGGGAAAAACCAATCTTAGGAGTCTGGAAAAGGGCCTGTCAGATAACCGGATTAAAAAGCCAACCCCGTACAGGCCAGGAATACCATTAAGGTAAAACAAAATCCAATCAAGAAGCATATTTGTAGCTCAGAGTTGACACGAGGGGCTCTGAGCTTGGTGGTTTTCTTGCAGACGTTTGGATTTCATCGTCTTAATGCAATCCTAAATTGCATTAACAGAGGGATACAATCAAGGCTCAGTGAGGTACTAATACCACTCTATAAAGGCTAAGTAAGACCACACCTAGAGTACTGCATCCAGTTTTGGTCACCACACGATAAAAAAGATGTTGAGACTCTAGAAAAAGTACAGAGAAGAGCAACCAAGATGATCAGGGGACTGGAGACTAAAACATACGAAGAACGGTTACAGGAACTGGGCTTGGCCAGTCTAGGGAAGAGAAGGACCAGGGGAGACAGGATAGCGGTCTTCCAATATTTGAGGGGCTGCCATAGAGAGGAAGGGGTCAAGCTATTTTCCAAGACACCCGAAGGTCAGACAAATAATGGATAGAAACTGAACAAGGAGAAATTCAACCTAGAAATAAGGAGAAACTTTCTGACAGATCAATCAACCAACGGAACAGAAGTTGCCTTCCGAAGTTGTGGGAGCTTCATCACTGGAGGCTTTCAAGAAGAGACTGGACTGCCCTCTGTCAGAAATGGTGTAGGATCTCCTGCTTGGGCAGGGGGTTGGACTAGATGACCTAGAAGATCCCTTCCAACTCAGTTAATCTGTTAAGTCTGTTAAATCCTTGCTAGCACTGATGATGTTACCTAGTTGGGTACTGAAACGTCTGCAAGAAAACCACCAAGCTCAGAGACTAACCAAGGACCTTCAATAACATCATCGGCCAAGTCTTGCTGGGCTTCCTTCTTTTGTAAGAAACAGGGAAGGGCTTGCCCAAAACATTTTCACAAATTACTTTCTTGGTCAGGGCTCATGTCCCCTTTATCTGACCACTGCAGCCTCCTCCTCCTCCTCTTCCTCCTCCTGGCCTTCAAGGCCATTTCCTTCTTGGGTAGTTCTTGAGTTACAACCAACCAGAAAATTATGACCCCAGTTTCAAAGTTCTGACAGTTTGGAGGCCCCCTCCACAGACACATGGTCAAATTTCGGGCAGTGTGAGGCATGGCTGGATTTACACTCCCAGCTTTTGGCAAAACTGGGCCTATAGTAAACTATTGGTAGGCTTGACGACAATAGTGTTTTGTTTCATGGCTCTTACAGCCACGCCTTTGTTTAACAACCCCTGCAAGAAAGGTAATAAAATTGGGTTTGTCGTGACTGTTACAACATATGACCATAATGGGCAGGGCTCCATTACGGTCGCATGTTGAGGACTACCTGTATAGGAAACTCCCGTCATAGAAACACTCAAGCAAAGATTCGATGGCTAAGTTACCTTCCAGAACTACAGCTGGAACTGTAGACATCTCATCTTACACCGTGATCAGTTTCACAACCATTTTGAGTCAAGAACGAACCACGCTGGTCTTAATCCAAGATGGAACCCAGGCCATGATTGGAAGAATCCAACTAATATTACTGAATATGGCCGGGATGGTGAACCGATGGCACGTGTGACACAAGCGGAACACAGAGCCATTTGTACCGGCACATGAGCTGCAGGCAAATTTACCTCACTGAGCGTATGAGCGCTTCACAGCTGATTTTTGGCCGGTTTGAGGCCTTTTTCGGCCTCCCAAAGGCTTGAGGAAGGCTTCTGCAGGCTTCTGCAAGCATTGCAGGCGGAAAACTAGCCCCGTTTCGTCACTTCCGGTATTTTCGGAAAAGCAGGAAGTGACAAAACAGGGCTAATTTTTGGCCTGTAAAGCTCGCAGAAGCCTTCCTCAAGCCTCTGGGAGGCCAAAAAAGGCCTCAAACCAGCCAAAGATCAGCTATGAGGCACAGTGCAGGTAAGGGGGTGGCAGGGGGGATTGTGCGCACATGCATAGAGGGCGTGGGGGAGGGCGCGCACCTATTGGGTGCTGGCACGCGAGCACAAGTGTGCAAGCGCGCACACAATTTTTCGCACAGGAGCCCAAAATGTTAGCCACCATTGCTATATAGGGTTTCCTGCCTAAGTAGGACTAGAACAGGGGCTTCCAACCTTGGCCACTTTAAGACGTGTGGACTAAAATTCCCAGAATTCCTCAGCCAGCTTTCCTAGCTGAGGAATTCTGGGAATTTTAGTCCACACGTCTTAAAGTGGGCAAGATTGGAGACCCCTGGACTAGATGACCTTCCAATTATCCCACCCCACGTCATTTCTATTATTTCTGTTTCTATTATTTCTATTTTTATTCTATTCTACTTGGCTTCTTCTCTTTGAGTCTAGCTGGCTCTAGAGCTAATTTTTCGAACTTGGGCATGAGAATGAGTTCGAAAAGGACAGAGAGCTGGTCTCTTGGCTAGTCTCACAAGAGGGTAGATATTACACTCACCCACTTCCACCGGAGGAAAATTACTGTCTTGAGAACTTGCTGGCGAACGTTTCAGCTGATGCTCTGAAGTGAAGCTTTCGGGGAGGAAACCTTCCTCTGTGGTTGATCTTGCCATCCAGTCTTCTTCAGGAGGGAGAAAAAAAATGAACGTAAAACATTTCAGGCTCATCTTTCGCAAGCAATGTTAAGCATAATGGAAAAAAAAAATCATAAGGTAAACAACTTTCTAATCACTTGGCGAAAGTCTAAAATTCCAACCTAAGTTCCAATTGAACCCACGAGGGATGTCTGCATGGATTGAGAAGTAAATAAATAAAAAGAGTGAATATGGTACGATGTCAACTTTACTGATAGAGTTGCAAGCAGTTTGTACAAACTGTTGCTTAGGAATAAGGAAGCTTATTAAATCCATGCTAGATTCACCCAACATGCTTAATCAGGTCAGGGCTTCAATAGTTTTTCTCTATTATACAGCCGTTCAGGTGACGGTCTTGGCCGAGAACAGAGATGCTGGTTCAGAAATTCTGGGAGCCCACCAAGTCATAAAGGGGCCATCATAACAGATCACAGATAATCAGAGTTGGAAGGGACCTTGTAGGTCATCTAGTCCAACCCCCTGCCCAAGCGGGAGACCCTACACCATTTCTGACAGATGGGAGTCCAATCTCTTCTTGAAAGTCTCAAGTGATGGCGCTCCCACAACTTCCGAGGGCAACTTCTGTTCCATGGGTTGATTGTTCTCACTGTCAGAAAGTTTCTCCTTATTTCCAGGTTGAATCTCTCCTTGTTCAAGTTTCTATTCATTATTCCTTGTCTGGTTTTTGGGTGCTTTAGAACAGTGGCCTCCAACCTTAGCAACTGTAAGTCTAGAGGACTTCAATTCCTGGAGTTGAAGTCCTCCAGACTTAAAGTTGCTAAGGTTGGAGACTCCTGCTTTAGAAAATAGCTTGACCCCTTCCTCTCTGTGGCAGCCCCTCAAATATTGGAAGACTGCTATCATGTCTCCCCTGGTCCTTCTCTTCACTAGACTAGCCAAGCCCAGTTCCTGTAATATGTTTTAGTCTCCAGTCCCCTAATCATCCTGGTTGCTCTTCTCTGTACTTTTTCTAGAGTCTTAACATCTTTTTTATAGTGTGGTGACCAAAACTGGATGCAGTACTCTTAGGTGTGGTCCTACTAAGGCTTTACAGAGTGGCATTAGTACCTCCCTTGATCTCGATTACCGTATTTGCCGGCGTATAAGACGACTTTTTTGCCCTGAAAAAGATGCCTCCAATTGGGGGGGTCGTCTTATATGCCGGGTCGTCTTATACGCCGGCAAATAGTAATTGGGAAGCACTGCGGCTGCCCGCGGCTGAGGCACTTTTGCGCACCGTGGAAACGAATCCCGTGAAGCCGAAAGGAGCAGCCAGCCTTCTCCCAGCTCCCAAGGAAACGAGGCTCGCACCGCCCGAGCTCCGCTGAGGTATCCGGCTGGGGCTGTCAGGAGTTGTTACCACTGGCGCGGCTCCGCGCGGCTCCAGTCCCGCGTTGCCTCGGGAAGGGAAAGGCAAAACCAGGAGCCGCTGCTGCCATTGCAAAGCGTCGCCGCGGCTCTTCCTTTTTGCCTTTCCCTTCCCGAGGCAACGCGGGACTGGAGCCGCGCGGAGCCACGCCAGCGGTAACAACTCCTGACAGCCCCAGCCGGATACCTCAGCGGAGCTCGGGCGGTGCGAGCCTCGTTTCCTTGGGAGCTGGGAGAAGGCTGGCTGCTCCTTTCGGCTTCACGGGATTCGTTTCCACGGTAGACAAAAGTGCCTCAAAAAAAAAAAAAGTGCAAAAGTGGAAGGCGTGCGGAAGAGGGGGCGAGTATATAACAAACTATATTTTGAGTGGAAATGTTGGGGGGTCGTCTTATACGCCGGGTCGTCTTATACGCCGGCATATACGGTATATCGCTCTGGGGTAGACACAATGTAATTGGATACAATTAATTGGATACAATGTGATTATTGTTATGGTAAGGGAACTGTATGAACCATAAATATTACGACACAAGATATTTGAACCCAGAAGATACACTGTTTCAAGAAAAGATGGAATGTTTGTCAAAATAAAATAAAAAACTTTTTTTAAAAAAAGGTCGAAAAATAGGGCAAAACTTCATTGAACAAATGTCTCGCTTCACAACAGAAATTTTGAGCTCAACTGTGGTCGCATGTTGAGGACTACCTGTACTTTGCAAGGCAGTCCCAGACACTGTGACTGAGCTGTTGTGATGTCACAGGACGAACATCCCGGCTGCTGAGAATTCCTGTTGGGTTATCAATAGATAACAAGGGAAATGGACCACGGAACCCATAAGGGAACTAAAAGTAAAGCTGGCCCAGAACGGAATTTCAGGGCATTCAAGACCCCTCCGTTATCCGTTCTTGTGCGTTATTCCTCTTTTACCTGACGGAAGGGCCTCTTCACCGTCATCTTCCTCCTTGATGATGACACGCAGCAGTCCCAGTTCAGAGTCCCAGAAAGACTGGGTGGCGTTGGAGCAATCTGGACTTCTAGACTCCTACAAGCACAGAGAAATTCAGCCAGACGCAAGGAACTCAACCTGCTTTTTGCACCCATCACCTTCACCGCAGAATCGGGCAACTTCGGGGTTTTTTCTTTATTGATTTCCTATTAAATACATTCCTTAGTGCTTCATAAACATCTTGTTGTTCTGGGTGTTTAATGTGCTTAACAATACAAATTTACATTCTTAAATCTCCAGCCCTTTTTCCCCAACCATTGGTAAAACAGATTCCACGTTTGATAATATTCTGTTTAATTTTCAATGTCGATCTATCCATAGTACCGTGATGGCGAACCTATGGCACGCGTGCCACAGGTGGCACACAGAGCCATTTGTGCCGGCATGTGAGCTGCAGGCAAACTTACCTCATTGCGCATGTGTGCATCTCATAGCTGATTTTCAGCTGGTTTGAGGCCTTTTTTCTGCCCTCCCAGAGGCTTGAGGAAGGCTTCTGCAGGCTTCTACAGGCTTTTCAGGACAAAAAATAGGCACGTTTCATCACTTCCTGTTTTTCCGGAAATACCGGAAGTGACGAAATGGGCCTAATTTTCAACCTGAAAAGCCTGCAGAAGCCTTCCTAATGCCTCTGGGAGGACGAAAATGGCCTCAAACCAGCCGAAAATCAGCTGTGAGACGCAGGGCAGGTAAGGGGGCTGTGTGGGTGGGTTGGTATTGCGCACACTGGCACATGAGCACGAGTGTACAAGTCCGCACACAATTTTTGGCACAGGAGCCCAAAAAGGTTAACCATTACTGATCTAGTATCTCCCTGACTATCTCTTCATCTATATCTATATCTTCATTTTTCCAGTATTGTGCAAATATAATTAAGACAATGTGATATTAAGCATATGCTTCTCTTATCATTTTTTTCTGAGACTATACCTAATAAAAACAGTTCAGGTTTAAAATCTACATGCTTCCCTATCATCTTTTCTAGCCACCTATGTATCTTTGCCCAATCTTTTTTTTTTTGCTTTTGCAAAAGTCCACCACATATGATTATAGGGATGCGGTGCCTCAGTGGCTAAGATGCTGAGCTGGTCGATCAGAAAGGTCGGCAGTTCGGCGGCTCGAATCCCTAGCGTCGCGCGTAACAGAGTGAGCTCCCGTTACTTGTCCCAGCTTCTGCCAACCTAGCAGTTCAAAAGCATGTAAAAAATGCAAGTAGAAAAATAGGGACCCCTTTGGTGGGAAGGTAACAGCGTTCTGCGCGCCTTTGGCGTTTAGTCATGCCGGCCACATGACCACGGAGACGTCTTCGGACAGCGCTGGCTCTTCGGCTTTGTAATGGAGATGAGCACCGGCGCCCCCTAGAGCCAGAAACAACTATCACGTACGTGCGAGGGGAACCTCTCTACCTTTACCACATATGCTAAAATGTGCCTGTTTTTGGGTTACATTTCCAACATTTGCTAGACATATTTTTGGGCAACTCTGCTTTTGGACCAGGCTAAATTTGCTTTGATTTTTGGCCACTGGGGCTGTAAAAAACACAGGGGAAAATGTGATGATTTGGTAATAATGTACAGGTAGTCCTCGACTTACAGAGGTTCATTCAGTGACTGTTCGAAGTTACGACAGCACTGCAAAAAAAAATGACTTTATGACCGGTTTTGAGACATAGGACAGCATCCCCAGGGTTAACCTGATTTACATTCAGATGCTTTGACAACTGACTCACATTTATGACGGTTGCAGTGTCCTGGGGTCACGTCCATCCCCTTTGGCAACCTTCTGACAAGCAAAATGTGAGAAGCCAGATTAACTTCACAATTGGGTGACTAATTTAACCGCTGCAGTGCTTCACTTAACAAACGTTGCCAGAAAAGTCGTAATTCGGGGCAGAACCCACTAGACCTGTGATGGCGAACCTATGGCAAGTGGAAATACCAGAAGTGACAAAACGGGCCCATTTTTCGGCCTCCAAAGGCTGCAGAGGCTTCCTTCGAGCCTTCGGGAGGCTGAAAAAGGCCTCAAACAGGCCCAAAATTAGTGCAGTGCAGGTAAGGGGACAGCGGGGGAGGGGGAGGGGATCTCGCGCGCATGTGCAGGGGTTGAGCAGGGGACACGTGCATTGCCTCCTGGGTGCTGGCACGTAAGCGCGAGCACCATTTTCGGCAAAGGAGCTCCAAAAGGTTAGCCACCACTGCCCTAGACAAATTTCTCGCTTAGCAACATACCTTTTGGGTTCAATTTTGTGATTGTTAAGTCGAGGACTACCGGCAATTGGAAGGAGCAGGTAGAAATTTTGGGGACAGGTTTAGAGCGCAGAAGTGATAACAGATAACAGATAATCAGAGTTGGAAGGGACCTTGTAGGTCATCCAGTCCAACCCCCCGCCCAAGCGGGAGGCCCTACACCATTCCTGACAAATGGCAGTCCAATCTCTTCTTGAAAGTCTCAAGTGATAGCGCTCCCACAACTTCCAAGGGCAAAGCTGTTCCATTGGTTAATTGGTCTCACTGTCAGAAAGTTTCTCCTTATTTCCAGGTTAAATCTCTCCTTGTTCAGTTTCCATCCATTATTCCTTGTCTGGCCTACAGGCGCTTTAGAAGATAGCTTGACCCCTTCCTCCCTGTGGCAGCCCCTCAAATATTGGAAGACTGCTATCATGTCTCCCCTGGTCTCCTTCCTCTTTACTAGACTAGCCAAGCCCAGTTCCTGCAACCGTTCATTGTGTGTTTCAGCCTCCAGTCCCCTAATCATCCTGGTTGCTCTTTTCTGTACTTTTTCTAGTGTCTCAACATCTTTTTTATAATGTGGTGACCAAAACTGGATGCAGTACTCTAGCCTCTTACTAAGGCTTTATAGAGTGGTATTAGTGCTTCCCTTGATCTTGATTGTATCACTCTGTTAATACAATTTAGGATTGCGTTGGCTTTTTTGGCTGCTGCTGCACACTGCTGGCTCCTATTTAGCTGGTTGTCCACTAAGACTCCAAGATCCCTCTCACAGTTACTGCTATTGAGCCTGGTTTCACCCAGTCTATATGTGAACTTTTGGCTTTTCTTGCCTAAGTGTAGGACTTTACTTTTCTCTACATTGAATTTCATTTTGTTAAGATACAGCCCAGTAAGTAAAGCCAGGTCGGATCCGGCTAACCATTGGATGTGAGGGGCCCCTGGGAATCCAGAGCTATGGGATGTGAAAAGAGATCGCAGAAGAAATCAATGAGAAACTCCTGCAAAACTGCCCAAATTCAGTCAACAAGGTTGATTTTTATTCAATCACATATTTAACTTTTTTTTTTTTAAAGTAGGTAGATATTTTCAGATTTGCCAATTGAGGGTTTAGGTTAGGGCAGGATCCAACTTTACTTTCTATCTCAGCCACAAATTAGAGGCAGATATTTCTCTCTCTAGGCACACGGAGAATATATCTGCTGAATAAAACTGCGCATTGGTGACAGGGAGGGCATCCGGCCAGTAAACACTCAGCTGCATTCAGTTGCTCAGACTCTACTCCGCAAGGGATTATGGATCATTAAAAGAGGATGGTGATGGTTAGCAGTTAGACTTACATACCTCTTCACAGCCCTCTCTAAGCGGTTTACAGAGTCAGCCTATTGCCCCCCCAACAATCTGGGTCCTCATTTTACCCACCTCGGAAGGATGGAAGGCTGAGTCAACCTTGAGCCTGGTGGGAATTGAACTGTCAAGGCAGCCGGCAGTCAGCAGAAGTAGCCTGCAAGTACTGCACTCTAACCACTGTGCCACCACAGCCCCAGATGCTCGTGGGGGGGGGGACTCTGGACCACTCACTGTCAAACTAGCCTACCTCCCAAGATTGTTGCGGGGGAGAAAACGGGAAGAGGGAGCATTCTTTGTGTGGTGCCTTTGAGTAAACAAAGATTGATACTCAATGCTAAAAGTTAGTTTAGAAGCTTAAAGAAAAGCCAGGTGAGTCTGATAATTACCATTTTGTGTTCTTTTGCCGATTCCTGAAAGTAGTTGTGCTGCAATTCGCAATTAAGGGCTCGTCTTTTGCCTGGAGTCCTGAATGCTTCACACTCCCAAGAATTCCCACCAAGGTTGACTGGATTTACTTTTAGCTTTGTGTATCCACCACGGCAACCTAGATGATGGAAAATCGGGTTGTTAGAATAAAGTCGACAATAAGAATCATTTACAAGCTCGCTTGTTTTATTTTTTTAATGTTCATGACGGAAACGTGTAGAATTATTGAATTGTGGAGTTGGAAGGGGCCACTAAGATGGTGTAAGGCAACGTTTCTCAATTCTAAAAGCAGTTTTAAGGTATGTGGACTTCCAACTCCCAGAATTCCCCAGCCAGCATGTCAGGCCAACCCTCTGCAATGGGGAGGAAAAAATCAGTCAAACCATCCTCTAGATCCTATAGTCTCTCCTTAAAACCTCCAGCAGCGGAGAACTCACAGAGCTTCAAATAACAAGTTAAGAACTTCAAATGACATTTACTTGTCCCAAAGGTGCTTTTTCAAGAGGCAACCAATTTCTTTTTCTTTTTTACTTGAACTGAAGAAGCTTCTTGGATGAGGAGCGACACGTCTTCGAAGAAAAAAACAGAAAGTCCAGTTGCCTCTTCAAAAAAGCACCTTGCAGAATGGATAATTGAGGCTATGTAAATAATTATAATGGAATACGATGGATAATACAACGGATGTAAGTTAACTGTATAAATGTATAAATGTATATAAGATATGTATCATATACTTTAGTTTGTATGCCAAAAATGATGCCAGGACGACCACTCCAATAGTTTAATGTTCAATATTTTAATGATATAATCAATAAAATATTTATTAAAATAAATAAATAACAAATTAAGAACATCAAATAACATTTACTTGTCCCAAAGGTGCTTTTTGAAGAAGCAACCAATTTCTTTCTTTCTTTCTTTTACTTGAACTGAACAAGCTTCTTGGAAGAGGATTGAAACGTCTTCAGAGGAAAACCAGAAAGTCCAGTTGCCTCATAAAAAAGCATCTTTGGGACAACTATCAGTTGGATGACCAAGAATCTCTATAGATAACATTTAAGTTTTATTTATTTCATGTATATGTCACTTTTTCAGGAGTCGAAAGCGATCCGCCTTCACCACTGTACATTTATCAATACTAAGCACTTTGAAGATGTGATCCATTATTTCGATTACACATGTTTAGAAGGATTGTTATCTCCGTAGTCCAGTATTTTCCTTGTTTCTTTTATATACTGCTAGCTTCCACTGGCTCTTGGCAGTTTGCAATTGTGTTAACATTGACACAATAAAAACGACAGTGCATTCAAAACAAAAACCATGTTGCCGGATAATCCTCCAGCATGCCCTGTGGAAGAATGGTTATTTTAATTTTTTTTCTGGGATGCTGTTTTCCTACCTCAAAAAAAAGATACTGGGTTTTTCTGTACGAATTCAGAATAAAAATATCATCCAAAGAGAATGAAGAAAGCATAATGCCACAGAGAGGAAATCTCTCTGCCCAGACCCTTGATTAAATTAGTATAATAGCCCCTTCTGAGAATAAAAGCAGTTTTTTTCCCAATCTTCTGCCATCTGTGCTAGATTCCAAATCCCAGAATGCTCTGCTAGGAGCACTTAGAATGCCATGTTGGCTAGGGATTCTGGGAGTTGAAGTCCAACAGGGGTACCTGTTGGGGAAAGTTGATGTGGGGAATAGGAAGAGCCAAGTACAGGTTCATTTTTAGCCATGAAAACTGGACAGTTTGGGGCAGATCAGCCTACCTCACAAGCATGTTGTGGCAATACCACAAAAGGCAATCTTTTTGAGCTTTTGGAGAAAAGGTAGGCTAAAAACCCATCCAAAAAGGTTATTTCCTTCCTCCTCCCAGTTTGTTTCCTCTGCAGTACATAAATCTCTGAAGAAGCAGCCATTACTTTATTTTATTTTTGAATAGTTTATTACATTTTCACCTTAAAAAATCAAGTTCTATATACATTTTTTGCAGTTATTTGTGACATGAGTTATACCATTCTCACATATATATTTACAATTATATTTTAAACCTCCTACTTTCGCACTACATTTTCTTTCAAATTTCTAACCAGACATACCATTTCCCCAATTATTTTATTATTGTCATCCTGATTTATCACTTGTTGCTGGTATGTACACTGAGAGCTTTTGCACCAGAGACCAATTCTTTGTGTCTCCATCACACTTGCCCAATAAAGAATTTTACCTTCTATTAAGAAGATCCCAGCTGCCATTGTAAAGTCCTCCATGGCAGAAAGCTAAGGTTGGGGATGCTAACCTAGGCAACTCAAGTAAATGAGGCACTTTGCATATTTCAGATTCAAAGGGGAAAAATGCAATTGAGCCCAATCAAGAGTAAGAAGAAAAAGCCAAAAAAAGGACCATTATTTGAAGGACCGGAAGAGATTTACAGGTAGTCCTAGACCTACGACCACCATTGAGGCCAACATTTTTGTTGCTAAGTGAGACATTCGCTAAGTGAGCTTTGTCCCATTTTACGACCTTTCTTGCCACAGCCATTAAGTGAATCACTGCCTTTGTTAAAATTAGTAACAGGGCCGTGAAGTGAATCTGGCTTGTCCATCCACTTGGCTTGTCAGAAAGGGATCACGTAACCTCCAGGGATACTGCAACCGTCATACATGCGAGTCAGCTGTCAAACATCCGAATGTCGATGACTGTGAGGGATGCCGCAACGGCCGTAAGGGTGAAAAAAGAAAAGTCACTTTTTCCAGTGCCGCTGTCATTTCGGATGGCCGCTAAACAAGCTGTTGCATGTCAAGGACTATCCTGTGCCGCTGTCATTTCATACGGTCACTAAACGAAGTTCTGCAAGTTGAGGACTACCCCATGCCGCTGTCATTTCAGGACGGTCGCTAAACGAAGTGTTGTAAGTCGAGGACTACCCCGTGCCGCTGTCATTTCAGGACGGTGGCTAAACGAAGTGTTGCAAGTCGAGGACTACCCCGTGCCGCTGTCAT